GCTGGGTGATTTTGGTTCAATCACCAGGAGACTGTGAATTCTAGTCCTGCTTAAACATGAAAGACAGCAGTAAAATCACAAGTCATGGTCAACTGATGTCTGACTTAATGAGCTGTGGTGACTCACTTAATGTCAGGACTGACTCGCACTTTCACCTATATTCCACTTCGCTGGCAGCTTGACAAACAAAAGGGCAGGGGGTGAAATGGAATGCAAGGGGGGGAGGGGAATGGCATCTAAACATTGTCGGTTCCCAGGACACATTGCTCCCCCCTCAAGGACACCCGGAGCAGATGTCCCACCGTGGCCGGCTGGTTCCCATAACAAAATGAACAAAAGTGATTGGTGCACTATAATGGATTGTGGGTGGCCCGTGGGGAAAGGGAGAATGAATTATGCTTGCTTTGGGGCAGGAAACCCAGAGCTGCTTTGCTTCTTCTGTGCCAGTGTGGTTTTATTCAGTAAAGTTTGATACTCTTGGTAAAATAATGTCCCAGGAGTTTCTTTTTCTGGATTCTCCAACTGGACAGCTGTCACTTAACAGAAGTAAGCCTGTTATGGTCAGAGGATACTTATGACCATGGCACTTAGTGACAAAGTGGCACTTGCTGCTCCTCATTTGTGGCCATTAAGCGAGGACTACCGGTAAGCATTCGTGTTGCATTTCAGTGGATTTTTGCTTCTTCTTAACAGGTGTGTGTCTTTTGACCTAAAAGGTCACAGACAAAACAGTAGGAGAGATTTCCCCGGAGCTTACCTGTTGCCATGTAGACTGGGAATCCGGAACCGTGTCTGAGAAGAGCTCCATGGTGAGGGGGTTCTACCACTTCAAAGAAGAGGTCCTCAGCTGCAATATGCCCGTCACTCAGCGCCAACTTTATTCCTTAACCATCCAAATATAGAGAGGGAGGAAGCAAAATAGGTTTAGAGGTTTAGCTTCCGATCTCCAGGGAGACTGCAACTTAGAAGCAGGTGAGAGCGCAAATAGGGGAGTCGGTGGACTTTCAGGTATTGGTACATTCGAAAACTTGGGTCATAACATTGATCAAAACGCCTGGTATGTTATTGAGCAATAACAGTACAGGTAGTCCTCAACTTACGATCTCAGTGACTTTTAAGTTATAACAGACCACGCCCCCCCCACCCTCCAGCCTAAAAAAAAGGTGTTGTCAGGGCGCCGGTAGTTACCCCCATTTAAATCATGAGTCTCTAGCCGGATTTTCAAAGCTTAAAGAAGATTTATTAGGAGTAAACATGCCAGTGCTACCTGGGTGTAGCCAACTCTGAGGCACATCGTTCATTGTCACCCTTGACCGTCGTTTTCCCCCACCCGCTGGGTGTATCGTAATTCATATTCTCCAATGGGACACATCCATAGCCAAGAGTCATCAATCATGCTCTCCAGCTAGAATTTTGCACGGCAGAAACTTCAGTCGCCTAGAAACTATCTATGACAACGTTTATGGAAAGCAGGTTTGGTTTTGCAAGATGCTACAGTGCTCCCTGCCCCCGCCCCCATTTTTTTTTTTTTTTTGCTGGCAACTCTAAAAGACCAGAGAAATATTTTATGAGTTGACAGGTGTCAAGCGCTGGGGAAATCAGGAGATTCGGGCAGTTCAAATGAGTATAAAGATTTATTGCAAGCTTAAGCTCTCTACAAGAATCTGAACTGCTAACAGTCAAGGGAAATTAGCGGGAAATAAGAAAGGCGTTCAAGATGAGCTGGACTTAGATCTCTTGCGAGCACGCAGGGACTCGTGACAGATGACGCGTTGGACCTTTCCCTTTGGGCTTAAGCCTGGTCATCTCCTATCAGAGGTACTTACAACCTGGTTCCGAAATACAACAGCTGCCTACTCACCCCCAATCATGTGACACTTCAGGTGTTCGGCAACCAGCTCACGTTTACGGCTCTTTAAAACATCCCACAGTCATCTGACTGCCATTCATGCTGGTTTTTACTTCTGGTTTTTACTTCTGGTTTTAGCAAATCATGGGTTGGGTTAATAACTGTACTGTTTGTTTGAAGACCACCAAAAAAAAACCCCACAACCCACCAGGTTGTAAAATCGGGTCGGTCACGGGGGTGACTCACTTTGCAACCATCCTGACTTAAGACCATAATGGGAAAGTATCATTACAGTCTTTAAGTGGAGGACTACCTGTACAAGGGCAGATTTCCTAATAACAGAATAACAGAATTGGGAGGGACCTTGGAGGTCCTCTAGTCCAACCCCCTGCCTAGCCAGGAGAGCCATACCATTCCAGACAAATGACTGTCCAATCTCTTCTTTAAAACCTCCAGTGTTGGCGCACCCACAACTTCTGAAGGCAAATCGTTCCACTGATTAATTGTTCTAAATGTCAGGAAATTTCTTATGATTTCTAGGTTGCTTCTCTCCTTGATTAGTTTCCACCCATTGCTTCTTCTGGTTTCGGTTTCTTTAGACAACAGGTTGACCCTTTCCTCTCTGTGGCAGCCCCTTAGATATTGGAACACTGCTGTCATGTCACCCCTAGTCCTTCTTTCCATCAAACTAGACAAACCCAATTCCAGCAATCATTCTTCATATGTTTTAGCCTCCAGTCTCTTCATCATCCTTGTTGCTCTTCTCTGCACTCTTGCTAGAATTTCAACCTCTTGTTTATATACGTGGTGACAACCAAAACTGGATGATAATGAAAATCACTGTTCAAAATCACTATATGCATCTTTGAAGTTGGATTCATTGGTTGAATATTGGGAAACTAAAGAGGGCTGCATTGGTTGATATATTAGCTTCATGTGTCATCTTAAAATAAATACCACAGGCAAGAGCTAAATCTCCCATTATGCTTCCACGTTAAAGGATTCACACTCGCAAGGATCCCATGCAGAGTGATGGTTCCAGGTGGATTTCTTCAATTACGTTTTACGTCTTCCTCTCTTCGCTGATGTCCACATGGAAAGTGGGTTCCCAGACCTTTTTATCGATGTTTAATTTCTCTACTGAACGTTTGGTTTCTGGACTGGGGCCAAGTAATTTATGGGAAGCCCCCTAATTGAACTGCTACCGTTATGAATTATAAATATAGCATAGTGTGTACCTGGAGCCCATTGATGAACTAGTGGGTTTTTTTCCCCCTTACCAATGGCAGCTCTGCCTCCTTGGCTGACCTCGAGCACCGGAGCAGTAATCTGGAACAACGGAGGCTCTACATCAGTGGAAAGCAAGTGGATGGTAAACGCCATCTCGGGACTTACGTGTTCTCCATCCGACACTGAAAGAAAGGACTGGAGTGAGAACGTTGCATAAAAGAATCAGGCTTAAAATGATCCCTTCCTTCTGTGGATTGGCTGAACTCTAAAATGATGGTGTTGCGGCCTGTCGGGCGCTGGCCCCTCTGGCAGCCAAATCAGAGGAGGAAGCGGAGCGGGAGTCGGGGGGCCAGCATCAAGACAATCTGAGAGCTCCAAGGGGGGAGAGGGAATGGCGCTGTCAGAGATAGAGATAGAGGTGGAGCTTGGGCCATCCATTGGCTGGAGGTGGCTGATGAGAAAGAAGAGGAACAGCTGGGTCCTGTGCCTGACCCACAGATGCGCAGAAGGCAGAGGAGAGGAGAACAGTGGGACTCTATAGGCCGGTCCTCAGGACAGAAGAGCCACCGCTGCTAGCTAAGCCCCACCCTAGTTCTGGGGATAAAAGGCAGGGGGCGGGGATAAAAGGCAGGGGGCGGAGACGAATAGGTGTGGCAGACAACTATTTGTCTCCCTGTCGGTCAGCCACTGATACTCTGAACTTCTGCATCCTGTCTAGAATTGTATTGGAGGTCTTTCTTGGAATCTGTGGCATTGAGAGTCAGGTGCGCCTTCAGAGCATGTGTATATGTGTCTCCGCTGCTGGAAAAAAAGCGGGCACACCTTCCATGACTTCTGTTACACGTGTGTTGAGTGAGAGAGAGACTCCTGGTGTGTTGGAGCCATTTCAGGGGGAAAGGGAGTGAGCTTCACTTTCCACAAGCACTTAACAGACTCTCTGCTTAAGAAACTTTCTTAGCCTGCTGAGAGAGAGAGAGAGGGAGGGAGGGAGGGAGGGAGGGAGGGAGGGATTGATTCTTTTCTGGGGTTGCTGGCGCTCCTAATAAAGGGAACGTTTAACTAAAAAACCATGTGCTTGTCGTGTTTGGGAACCTGGTTAGAACAGTTGGGTTTGACTCATAAAGTCTCAATGTCAGCTTTGCCAGGTAAACCAGATAGGAAACACGATGAGCTAACTCTACTTTATTGTTAAGGCTGCATGAACAGAATCTTGCAAGTCTGAAAGTACAAATCTCTTACTGTCCTTTTTTATCTCCTGAAAAGATAGCATGGATCGTTTCTAAAGTTTCTTTCTCTATCTCTTGTTCAAATGCTAACTCCTTCCTCTTTTAGCTGATCCTTCTTTAGGGAGCAGCCCCTACTTCCGTCTTGCAAGGCTATTCTCACATTCCATTATAACCAATAACATTAAAGGGGCTCCAGGTGAGACCATTCATAGATTCTAGTCCTGCCTTAGGTATGAAAGCCTGCTGGGTGACTTTGGGCCAATCACCAGGCGATGGTGAGTTCTAGTTCCACTTTAGGCATGAAAGCCTGCTGGGTGGCTTTGGGCCAATCACCAGGCGATGGTGAGTTCTAGTTCCACTTTAGGCATGAAAG